GGCGGGGATGCTTTTGCGCAAAAGCATCCGTGGCTAGTCTAGGCGCGATTTTGCGCAAGTTAGCCCCGATTGCCATTTTAGCCATCAGCTTTTTTGCGCAAAACAATTCTTCCCTGTCTACACTGGCCCTCTTGAGCAAGTATTTTTGCGCAAGAGGGATTTTTCCCGAGCAGGAGCGTCAAAGTATTTGCCCAAGAAGCACTGATTTTGTACATTACAAAGTCAGTGTTCTTGCGCAAATACTCGCAGCCAGTGTAGACAGGCGGCAAGATTTGCGCAAAAGCAGTCGCTTTTGTGCAAAATCATGCTGGTCTAGACGCAGCCTTAGTGTTTAGAAAGCTGTTAATTTAAGCTACCAAGTTCATCTTTTGAAACTATACAAGTTTCCTTTGAGGAAAAGGAGTAATGGGTCAGATACAGAGTGATTGCTTTGTGAAAAATATTCATTTACAGGTGATACCATGTTTTTTGTCATTTATCATTTTCTTATGAGTTCATTCAAGAGTGTAACAATTGTCTGGTGGCACTCACATAATTGCTATTGGGGCATTTTAGTGCACTGAGGTACATTGCGTATTGAGACGGAAATCTTGAAAGTTGTGTGTGACGGAGATACATCTGTAGTCTTTGCATCTATTCTGGGATGCCTAGTGTTGGTTTGGGTTGGACACTGTGCAATCTGTTTTATAACTGATGAGAGAAGGCCATCTAGTGGACTGATATAAAATGAAATAGTTTGAGATGAGTGCATTAAGCCATATATATGGCTTATTTGCATATGGAAACCTAGTTTTTCAGGAAGCTCTTCAAATAGAAGGCTGACTAAATTGTCTTGGAGCTCAAGAGTTATTTGCACTAATACAGCTTAACTTAAAACAACTTTTTATCTGATTTCTCCTTCCCCCTTTCCCCTTTTTGTTTTTAAGGAGTTCATCTCTACTACGTAGGTGGGGAAGTGTATGCTGAGTGCTTAAGTGATAGCAGCATATTTGTACAGAGCAGGAACTGCAACTACCATCATGGATTTCACCCTACAACTGTATGCAAGATTCCCAGTGGCTGCAGCCTAAAAATTTTTAACAATCAGGAATTTGCTCAGCTTTTAGCTCAGTCTGTCAACCATGGATTTGAGGCAGTGTATGAGCTCACCAAAATGTGCACCATTCGAATGAGTTTTGTAAAGGTAAATACATTTTGATTTTGTATCTAAGCATTTAAATTCTCTCTGGATTGAGAGAGGTTCAAGCAAATTATTCAGATTGACTTTGATACTATTTTGCACAAAGTTATTTGTGATGTAACACTTCTGCGTTTTAGTCTGACTCCTTATGTTGGAGTAACATTATTGTTTGATCTTTATACTTGCCAGATGAGTATGCTTTGCCATAGTAGTTCAGTAGGCCGCCTGCTCCATCTGGTTATATTAAATGGTTCCTTTCTCAGATCAGAAACATGCTATAACTTGTAAACTTCCACTTTCTAAGGAAACTTGTAATGTGCACATACGCTAATGGAGCAAAAATAATGTGGCCTGCTGGACCACCAACTTGGCCGTGATATGAGAAAAATGAAGAAAAAAAAATATATGAATGACAGTTTAACTCCTCCTCGTGCCTTCCTCGGTTCTTTCTCCCAATAAAGCTTCAGATCATAGACACATATATTTCATCAATCCCTTGGGCCTTCAGTATACGTTTTTAGTAGAATGAAGAGAAACTTACTTTTTAAAATGTATGCAGCCAGATTGTGCCTTTCTTAAAAAAGAAATCCTTCAATATTATGAGTTTTAAAAAAATGGCTTTGTATTAGTAACTGATCTGACTCTTAATATAGTAAAAAAGGTGACTTGTTGCAATAAGCTCTTCTGCATCTGGTCTTTAAAAATATGCTCAATATTGAGTATTTAAAGTTGAATAGGAGGCTATGCCTGCCGAACCTCCTGTCGTGGTGGGTAGGCAACCTCGCTCTCACCCTCCATTGCAGCCTAAACAAAACTCCACTGGTGCAACACAGCAAGGGAGCCTCCCCGGCCTCACCGCAGTACCCCTGGGCCCTCTCGGGAAGGAAGAACCAGGGCCTGTATCCGTAAAGAAGGCTGGGAAGTTGATCTAACAGCCCAACTGGCATCTTCCCGGCCCCGCTCATCCCGATTCGCTTTCATGCAGTGGTGCTGGGGAACCAGATCTGGGGCACATACTGTCCTGTGGACCGGATGGTTCGCAGCTTGCTGTCTTGTGGCGCAAGTGAGTCAGTCTCCCAGGGCTGGCTACGAGCAGCCAGGGGACACTGCCACTGCTCATCTTCCTTCTTGTCCTAGAAGCTGAGCAGACTGGCCCATGTCGCCTCTTTATTCTCCTGTAGCCACTTCCTCTCCTTGATCTCTTTTTTAAAGAGAGGGTGTTTTGATGGGTAATGCGCACAAATGGGATTTTACATCACAACTAACTGGTTAAACATTAATTTAAATCAGTTAACTGATTAAATGAGCTGGGTGAGGGGCACTCCAGCCCACCTGCCCTCCCTCCTTGTTCTCCCACCCCTATCGGCTAGAGCTGCCCTGGCTGGGGTGGTGGTGCTCCCCTGCCTGGGGCACACGGGCTGGACCAGCTATGGTTGGGGGCTACAGCCCTTACCAGTTAACTGTAACCTGTAAGGGGTGAGATTTACTGATTAACCTTTAACATCCCTACAGCACAGTAGATTTAGCACATTTGTAAAGTAATTTGTGTTAGTGTCATGGAGCAGTGATGCTCTTAAGTTTCATTGCTTGTGGCGGCAACTCTTCCAACCTGTCTGTGTGGTTCTTGCACAGTATCCTGTGGAATGTGTGGGAATATCCTTGTTCTCACAAAGAACTTTGATAATTCACTTGGTGTTAATCATAGTAAAAAAGCATCTGTCCTGATGGTCTGAAGGGGGGAAAAACATGGCTCTAATTTATAAAGAAAGTCTCAGAAGTAAAGAATTCTTCTGGGCCTCTAAAGATAATTCATAGATTAAAGGCCAGAAAGGACCATTAATCACCTAGTCTGACAAACTGTATAGCACAAGCAATAGTACTTCCCTGAGTTAATACCTGTGTCAAGTCCAATAACTTGTGGAATTACAGCCTCTCTCACTTGGAGTCTATTAATTATCTTGTACAATGTTATGTTAGTACTTTATCCTGTTATGTACCTGTTTCATGGTAATCCCTAGGAGCCCAAAATTAGATTGGAACCGTATCCTGTTGTATACTTTACAAACTTCATGCTGACAGTCTTTTCCCCAAAGAGCTTAAACAACAGAAGTTAGGAGAGAGGAAGTATTCAACTCCAAAAAGGAGTTTAAAGAACAGCTAGCCAAAAACTCAAAAGGTAATAACAAATTGTTTAAGTACATCAGTAGCAGGAAGCTTGCTAAACAACCAGTGGGGCCCCTGGATGATCGAGATACAAAAGGAGCACTTAAAGATGAGAAAGTAATTGTAGAGAAACTAAATGAATTCTTTGCTTCAGTCTTCACGGATGAGGATGTTAGGGAGATTCCCAAACCTGACGCATCCTTTGTAGGTGACAAATCTGAGGACTTGTCACAGATTGAAGTGTCATTAGAGGAGATTTTGGAATTAATTGATAAACTTAACAGTAACAAGTCACCAGGACCAGATGGCATTCACCCAAGAGTTCTGAAAACTCAAATGTGCAATTGCGGAACTATTAACTATAGTTTGTAACCTATCCTTTAAATCAGCTTTTGTACCCAATGACTGGAGGATAGCTAATGTAACGCCAATATTTAAAAAGGGCTCTAGAGGCGATCTTGGCAATTACAGACCAGTAAGTCTAACATCAGTACTGGGCAAATTAGTTGAAACAATAGTAAAGAATAAAATTGTCACACGTAAAAGAATGTAATTGTTGGGCAAAAGTCAACATGGTTTCTGTAAAGGGAAATTATGTCTTGCTAATCTATTAGAGTTCTTTGAAGAGGTCAACAAACGTGGACAAGGGGGATCCAGTAGATATAGTATACTTAGATTTCCAGAAAGCCTTTGACAAGTTCCCTCACCAAAGGCTCATATGTAAATTAAGTTGTCGTGGGATAAGAGGGAAGATCCTTTCATGGATTGACAACTGGTTAAGACAGGAGACAAAGGGTAGAAATAAATAGTAAATGTTCAGAATGGAGAGGTGTAACTAGTGGTGTTCCTCAAGGTCAGTCCTAGGACCAAGCCTATTCAATTTATTCATAAATGATCTGGAGAAAGGGGTAAACAGTGAAGTGGCAAAGTTTGTGGAGGATACTAAACTGCTCAAGGGAGTTAAGACCAGAACAGACTGTGAAGAACTTCAAAAAGATCTCACAAAACTAAGTGATTGGGCAACAAAATGGCAAATGAAATTTAATGTGGATAAATGTAAAGTAATGCACATTGGAAAAAATAACCCCAACTATACATATAATATGATGGGGGCTAATTTAGCTACAACTAATCAGGAAAGAGATCTTGGAGTCATCATGGATAGTTCTCTGAAGATATCCACACAGTGAGCAGCAGCAGTCAAAAAAGCAAACAGGATGTTAGGAATCTCTTAAAAAGCGGGATAGAGAATAAGATGGAGAATATCTTGTTGCCCTTATATAAGTCCATGGTACGCCCACATCTTGAATACTGCGTACACATGGGGTCTCCTTATTTCAAAAAAGATATACTGGCATTAGAAAAGGTTCAGAGAAGGGCAACTAAAATGATTAGGGGTTTGGAACGGGTCCCATATGAGAGATTAAAGAGGCTGGGACTTTTCAGCTTGGAAAAGAGGAGACAAGGGGGGGGGGGGAGATATGATAGAGGTCTATAAAATCATGAGTAGTGTGGAGAGAGTAAATAAGGAAAAGCTATTTACTTTTGCCCATAATATAAGAACTAGGGGCCATCAAATGAAACTAACGGGCAGCAGGTTTAAAACAATTAAAAGGAAGTTCTTCACACAGAGCATAGTCAATCTGTGGAACTCCTTGCCTCAGGAGGTTGTGAAGGCTAGGACTATAACAGGGTTTAAAAGAGAACCTCCATGAATTTATCTAGTTAAGTCCATTAATGGCTATTAGCCAATATAGGTAAGGAATGGTGTCCCTAGCCTCTGTTTGTCAGAGGGTGGAGATGGATGGCAGAAGAGAGATCACTTGATCATTACCTGTTTGATTCACTCCCTCTGGGACACCTGGCATTGGCCACTGTTGGCAGACAGGGTACTGGGCTGGATGGACCTTTGGTCTGACCCAGTATGGCCAGTCTTATGTTCTTATACCCATTTTATAAATGGAGAAATTAGACACCGGGATTAACCTTGGCAACGGTTACTTAAGTCTTGAGTCAGAATCAGAACCCAGAGTTCCTGAGTCATAGTTCAGTGCCTTTACCCTCAACACCCTCCTTCCTCTTTGTTTTCCTTTTTTCCTGGGGGGGGGGGGGGGGGAAGGGGTTGTCTCTTAATACCTGTAAATGTCTAATAGTCTAACTTTGTATTTCCTATTGGCAAAATTGGATTAAGAGTATACACTCATGTTAAAGGTATAACATTTCTTCATTTTTATAGGGTTGGGGAGCGGAATATCACCGGCAAGATGTCACAAGCACGCCATGCTGGATAGAAATTCATCTTCATGGGCCCCTTCAGTGGCTGGATAAAGTACTTACACAAATGGGCTCACCTCTTAATCCCATCTCTTCAGTTTCATAGAACTGCAGTATTACCTTCAATTGTATCTTTGGTGGACTTATTTTTAATTCTAGGGAAACTTCCAGTGTGGATACTGTGAGCTAGATGGAGAACAGATATGGGTTTAACTTTTACCCCCTTTGTGACCAATTCCATTGCATATTGATTCACTTTTAAATTTCAGTTTGTTCTTGTGATCCTAAAATGATAGTTGAGCCCTGCGGTGGGTTGGAGTCTTATGAGAAACTTGCAACACTTCTCCTTCCCCCCACCCACTCTATATGAAACTTACAGGCATAGGTCTAACGGGAACATCTTCCTCATTGTCACATTGGGACAAGAGTTTTGAAGGCAGACTTTAGGAGTAAATACATATAATAGATTTTAGTGTTACTTGAGCTCTACATTCTCTTTTAACACACGTGGCTCCAGATTTCAATCAGTATTAAATATGTAGCTGTGTAACATCTTATGGAAGATGTCTGTAGTGAAGAATTAGCCTTTATTACAGCTAAGTTTGCCTCAATTTGAACAATGTGATTTAAGTGTACACATCTTGAAATACTTTTTTACAGATGGATGATGTAAAACATTTGCTTTAACTTTTGGAACATGCAGCCATAAACACCATATACATTATAGAATATCAATTATTAGCCTTGTCCCATTCCAATTTTGTAATACTACTTTTAACCACCACTTAAAGAGTAATTGATAAAGGTAAACTTTTCGCACTGCTGTGGACTATATACACCTATGCTCTTTTGGATGTAATTGCCAAGACCTAGCTTTTTAGGTACCCTTTTGTATTTTAGCATAAACTCTATTTTTTATAAATGGCAGAACTTGCATTGCAAAGGAGCTAAGTTCTCTACGTATCTGTTTTACCTATCCAGAATTGGCATATTTAAGCCTCTTGAATCATTTAGCAGTTATTATGCAGTATTAGTGATGACCCTGTACTTCATATCCAATACATATTTGATTAATCTCTCATTTTCGTACTGTTTGAAGACTGAATGGCTTAGCAAATTGGTGATTGAGTGCAGAGCCTTTTATTTATAGATCAAATGCAAGTGGAGTAGGCAATTACCAAAAATCATTACTGTCAAGACTTGTCCTGTGTGAAATGGTGAACTTCATCCCATTCCTGATGAATTTTTCCCCTCCTGTAATCTAGGCCTAAAGTTGGCATTCTTAACAGAGACACTAATGATTGAATGTAGATAGGGATTCAATTGCCCTTTCTCCCACACTGGTGTATGACTGTGAGAAGACTTGTATTACAGCTGCCTGCTGTATGTGTTGCTTCACCGAGTGAATTACAATGCCCAGCCTTTCAACACAAACACTAAATAAAAAAGGGAGAAATCTGTGAGTAACTCCTTTTCCTAATGAGAGAAATAAATATGTTGTGGAGAATACTAAGTGAAATGAATTATGGCTCAATTCTTTAAGTCTAATGTTTTTATGTACAGAGTGTCAGGCCTGTTATGTATCTTCTTCACCTTCCCCTTTCTCTATCCAAAACCTGTTTCTTATCCACTAAAAGATAAAAGATTTGGGAGGTAGCCTGAAAACCCAAACTCACGTACTTACTAAAGGATGCTTTATGTAGCTAATTACTGCAGTCCCAGGGTATTGATTACTTAAGTTGTTCTTGTGTCCTTTTATTGAATGATAAAGTTTGTGCTTAAATGTGGTAAATCACTGTATCACATAGTACATAAGTAAATCTTTTTCAAGGAACAAAATTGTTTACAGATCATGATCGTTTCTTATGAAATGCCTTAAAGGAATAAAGCTAAATAGATAACTTTCACACATCTATAATGCTGTCTTGTACAGGAATAAGTATTTGTACTTGATCTTAAACACTTTAAATAAAATGTTTTCAGGAAAAAAGGGAGTGATATTACTTTGTCATTTATCTTGTAGACCAGTGTTTCTCAACCTTTTTTTTATAAAGTACCCCTTTTTCCCCAAAAAATCATAAGTACCCCCTTTAAAAAAACAAAACATTTGTACCCTGAATACTTACAGTTTTCAAACACACAATTTTTTTCCATCGCAACACATTTGTTTAAACAACTTAATTGTAGCCAAGCATGAAATTTTTGGGTGTAAAAAGTAAAAAAAAAATAAGAAAGCACTGTAAAACTTAAAACAAAAATTCAGTTTTCTCCAAATTTCAGTTGTTGATGTACTCCCCAGACTTCTCTCATGTACACCTGAGGGTACTCATACAGCTGGTTGAGAAACACTGTTCTAGACCATTATTTATTCCTTTGAACTTCAACCAATGATGTGCATGGGTTTTTTGTTTTGGTTTTTAAAAGTTACAAATTCAGATGTTGCCCGTAAGATCAGGGCTTCCATAGTCAAAACATTTTCCTACATCCATATTTAAGTTTTGTGAATCTACATATAATTCTATATCTACTATGTTTTCTTAAATAAATTTTCTGAATGTCATGACACATCAGCTTAGAGTAAAATCTCAGTTGAAGGACCTATAAGTCATCCAAGGTTGACTTTTATATTGGCTTCCTCTATGCTCCTGTATATGCTTAAATTTTAAAAAATGATTCAGGAATGAGTACATGAGCCTGAGCCAGTGCCTAATGAGAAACTAATGCACAAATAGCCAGGCTATTCTAATCTTAGCAATACAGTAGAACCTCAGCGTTATGAACATCAGAGTAATGCAGTGTCCAGTCAACCAGATACCTCATTTGGAACTGGAAGTTTGCAATCAGACAGCAGAGATTTCCCCCTGCCCCCCACCTTCTCCTCCCCTGCCCCTCCCCAATCAAATGCAGTTAAATTACTAGAAAAAGGGGAAAGCAGCATTTTTCATCATAGTAAAGTTTCAATGCTGTAAAGTCATTGTTCAGTTGTAAACTTTTGAAAGAATAGCCATAATGTTTAGTGTAGGGTTAACTAATCTTTCAGAACAATCTCCATTCCTGAGGTGTTCATACCCGCTGCCGCCTTGCTCATACATACTCTTTTGCAGAAATATGCCAGCTAAGGGCTGCTGTTGAGCTTTAAAATTGGTGCATATCATAAATATGAGGCCTCTGTAAAAGATTTCTAGTTTTCTAACTTTTATGGTGCAGAGCCACGATATGTTTAGTTATATCTGGAGGGATGTACCACAGTGCACACATCTCTGAGGATAAGCGGACAGAGAACTGCTTGACACTAAATAGGTGCTACCAGCTTTGCCGTCATAAAATTTAAACCTATCATGCTATGCTTGTGAGTTCATTGCTAGCAGGAAGGGGTGGCCTGTCCGTATAGGTGAACTAGGCGGGCGCCAAGTTAAATAGGGTGCCAAATGGTGGTGTAATATCATTGAGGGGTTTGGAGGTGGGGGCACTGATTCCATGGTTGGCCTAAGGTTCCAGTTGCTGGCAGCTAGTCTAGGGCCGCCCCTGCTAGCAGGTATAATGTTGTAGGTAGAAACTAAATGGGTCAGGATCTTGGGAATTAAAACCCAACACTGGTCAGACTCAATGTTACTCTTTTAAAAAATTATTTTACCTTATTTATACAGGATAACTGACTTCAATCTTTGGTGGGCATGTTTCTATTTCTTACCATCGGCAATTATTAGTCTTATTGGTAATACCATCAGAGAGCTCAAAAGATGGAACAGGCAAATACATAACTACCATTTTGGCCTACTCATAAAGCTGCTGTGACTTCTACTCCATGTATTTCAATGGTTTTTACCCATGAAAGTTTATGCCCAAATAAGTCTGTTAGTCTTTAAGGTAGCACAGGACTCATTGTTTTTGTAGATAGACTAACATGGCTACCCCTCTGAGTGAAAGTTTGGAGGGAAGACTTCAGCCTTACGAGTTATCAATCCAGAATTTTTATGAGTATTACATTCACTTAATTGAAGATAAGGGGCAACATTGGGTTATGAGATTGGTTCTACACAATCTGTACCTTTTTTGGTATGGTTGAACAGAACTTTTTTTTTTCAGAATGACTAGTTAGTCAAAATAATTGAGCTGCTTACATATAGTGATTGCTTTAGGATTTCTTAAAAAAACAAACAAACCCTATCTTAATGCTTGGTCTGTTGCCTGAAACTATTGATCTCTTTCCATAGTTAGTGTAAAACTTGTTTTCCTACCAAAAAAAAAAATAGTGTTTTGTAGTCTATGGCTGGAAAAAATAACATGTCAAGATTTGCTTAGCTTGAAATACTCTGGAAACTAGTGTTTTATAGCTAGCAGTCTTCAATAAATAAAACCCATTTTAAATGGTTTTCCTGAAAGGAAAGTTAGTTTTTACTTTCTTTTTTTGGTAATCATGAAGTCTCTTTCCTTATGGAGGAAACCCATTCTGAATTCAAATTGATAGACTAAATCATTGTGTTACAATGTAACTGTGCTTTATTATGCTTCTCCAGAAATCTGCTTTTATGTTTATTGATAACATAACCTTTATGCTTCTGTTTACATAGTAGTAAACATGGTTTTAGCAACAAGGTTTTTTCATTTAACTGTCTTCATTTTGTTAACTCTAACTTTAGTTTTCGTTTTTAAAGATATATTTTGCATACTGCTGCCCATATTTGAATAAACATGAAAATTCCCCTTTCAGAATGGCTTTTTTTCCTGTTTTGCTCTAAACATAATTTATCAGCTGCGTCCAGTACTTATACATGTCTATGTCTATATAGGTATGTTTGAAAAAGTATAATCTGAATTTCCTACAAGGTATAATGACCCATAAAATCTTCATTATTGTAATTGTGGCCACTGACGTGTTATAGGTATTGCTCCTTATAGAAGTGAGAATTAGAAATTTAATTCCATTGACAGTTTGATTGGAACATTTGAGATTAGGGCTGTCAATTAACGCATGTTAATGCCTGTGATTAACGCAAAGCACAATTAACATGTTAATTTTTTTAATGCACATTAATCGCAGGCATTTCTGCAGCACTGCCCCTTTAAAACACCGCCAGGGCATTTCAAAGGGGCAGCACAGTGGAGGCTGGGATCAGCTGGAGTCCCCAGCTGACCCCAGACTCAGTGCAGTGCTGTCCCTTTGAAATGCTGTCATTGAGCCCGGGGACAATTGGGGACTCCAGCTAATCTGATCCTGGGCTCTCACGGTGCTGACCCTTTGAAATGCCTTGGCGGCAGCGATGCACAATGCCTGAGGGTCATCTAGGAATTCCAGCTGACCGCAGGCTCCGCATTGTGCTGACCTTTGAAATTCCGCGTTTCAAAGGGGCAGCACCTGCACAGCTGATCCCAGGCTCCCGTGCCCCTTTAAAATGCAGCAGAGGTGTTTCAAAGGGGCAGCACAACGTGGAGCCCGGGGCCAGCTGGAGTTTTATTATTCTTTAACAGTGCGATTAGTTGCGATTAATTTTTTTTAATCGCTTGACAGCCCTACTTGAGACTATTCTGCATGTCTAAAGAAACTGGTTACATGCTTCCTAGAACAATAGGATTTGAGCATACCAGCGCACATGCAAGATCAGGCCCTAGGGTGAGGATTAGATATAGTCCCATTTTTCAAACATAATGAATGCCCATGTTTTTAGAACTCTTGCATAGTTTCCAGAAATGGTTTTCCTTGAGGAACTTCTCATCATTACTATACAGGTCCCTCTAGGAATCTCCCCACATTGTAGGATTTTAAAACTGAATGTAATTAAATACAATTGTTTATTTGAGAGAGTATTCTTTTGTCATCTGGTTTCTGAGGTAAGCTGACTAACACATATTAAGGAACGTCACTAATGAAATTGGCTTATGTACAATGTTTTTTATAATGTATTTTTATAAATCACTGAATATACTATGGATAAAATACCAGCAATTTTACAGCAATTGTTTGCCATGCATAAAATCTTATCTGTAGGACTCTACCAAATTCAGATTCATATGGCTTATGAAATCTGGTCTTTTTGGTGTGCTTTCCCCCTAAAGTGTACGGATTACACAGGGGAGACCAGCATTTCTCAAAATGGAGGTCCTGACCCAAAAGGTAGTTGTAGGATGGTCACAAGGTAATAAGGAGGGGGTTGCAGTATTCCCACGTTCACTTCTGTGCTGCCCTCAGAGCTGGATAGCTGGAGAAATGCTGCTGTTACCCAGGTTCCCGACTCCGAAGGCAACCTCCTTTCAGCAATAGCACAAAAGTAAGGGTGGCAATAATATATTATACCACCCTTCTGTACTGCTGCTGGTGACAACTTTTGTCTTGAGGGCTGGCCTCTTAGACAGCAGCTGCTGCTCTGCAGTTGCCCAGCTCTGAAGGTGGCACCACTACCAGCAGCAGTGCAGAAGTAAGGATAGCAGTACTGCAACTGCCCCTTCCCTACAAACTTACAACCTCCCTTGCTCTGCACCCACAACTCCTTTTAGGGACAGGATCCCTACAATTACAATACC